ATGGCATCCCAAAGAAAAAAGGGTAACAATGCAAAAGGAAAAACCGCATTTGAGCTAAAACTCACAGGTTCGTGAGCTACCTAAAATAAATTACTATTCACATTTTTTACATGGAAAATAGCAATTGCTGCAAACCCCCTGCTGTTAAGTAGTACAATATCGACAATAATCGGGTGTCAACAGTACTCAAGGAAGAAAACACACGGGAAATAAAAGGCCTTTTCTTTTTTTTTCCTCATTGGACATTTTCAATCAACTCAATACATAAATGTAGCTGACAAGCATTAATACAATAAATCTTTTCAATAGCATACTTCTTTTAAAACCTGTGCCGTATCTGGGGATTTTTTTTCCCACACTCCAACTAAACTGACAGTGGGATGTTTAGCCTGACAATAGGAGAGGGTGTGTATATACAATGGATAGTGTGTATAAACCCTGTTCAAGGAGTTTTTTTTTTTTAAATCAGAATCTTAGTCATTCATAACACACTAGTGCAAAAAATTGTGCATCAAAAATTCTGCAATAGAAGAGCTGACTGGGAAATACGCAAATGGCCCTAATAATGGACACTGAGGCTAGCTGAGAGTTTCTCAAAGGTAGTCAGGTGTCTGGGATGGCATAGTGAAGCATTTGTAGGTGTGTGCATCTATTAGAAAGGGCACCTTCTTCAAGAAAGCTTTTTTTTCGGAGTATTCCTGTCCATGGGGGTTAAAACAAACAAACAAAACATATTGTGGTGCGATCTTTTGTCACTCTGCGCCCACAGGATGTATCCACGAGCCTGGAAGATTGCATTGAAAGGCATCCCAGCCACACAAAAATACGAAAGTCTGAGGCATTAAGTATGACGTATTGGCATGACTTGGCAGTCTTCCTTAAATGTGCTTGATTTCAAGCAGATGCAGCCAGCCGTTTGGAATCCACTTTCAGAATGAAGATGCATTTGTAAGTTGATCCTCAGAAGACTCTGCCACGTCTTACTAGGAGTTTTCGCTGCATGTATGCCAGTAGAAGATGTTGAAGGTCGCTGCAGCAAAGCCAAGAGTGGAAGGGAGAGTGGTATATGGCACCAAAGGAATTACTGCTTGTCCATCAGAGGTATGGCTATGAATCAGTCCTACTGGGGCACTGAAGGCTATACCACTGTGCAGACTGTGTTCAGAGTCGTGTCAAACCGCACAGCCTTCGCTTCTGTGGGTTTTAAGTTTGTATCATACATGGGGTTTTCAAATGAAGCTTGTCCATTGCTGTTTTCATGTCCGGCATAGCCATTGTACTGAACTTTTGGTCTGGTTCTAAAGTGAAAAGGAACAAACAATTAGAACCCTGATTTCCTTAAAAGAAACGTAACTATTGAAATTATTTGCGTCAGCTGACTCCTGAAGGAGCACGGAGTAACACGTGGAAGATTGTGCGTCGTGACAGGCAACGGTGCACATATTCACACGTTAGAGTTTATCTTTAATTGGCGGTTGACATTATAAAGATGGGTTTAAAACACTGAAGCAATTTCTAAAATTGAAAAACTATCTAGGCTTCCCACAAATAATACTGGTGAAATAGGAAGATTGGAATCAGATTATGGTTTCGAGATCCACGTAGGCTCTATAAATTATGTGACCTTGGTTACCTCATTTCACTGTCTCACTCTTTGTCAAATAAGAATGCTGAATATCTTTTAGGCCTGCCAAGATTAAACGCAGTTTCAAACATAAAACTTTTAGTTCAATGTCAATACTGATATTCATTGAATATTAGCTACTCTTGTAATGTAGTTGTCTCTGGTGAGCTAAAAATGAGTCAATTATAGAAAATAAATCATGTTCAATATATTAAACCATTATTTACATATTTTAAAAGAAAGTCAAAAGAAAATCTCTACATGCAATCTATGATTAGAGAAGTAAGGGGATTTTTTTGACAGAAAAGACCTAATGATCATCTCGTCTGGCCCCCTCTCCCCGCTGTCTTTTTCCCTAGAAAAAAATACATAAGAAAATATGACGAGTGGTAAAGACAGAACTTAAATGTGAATAACCACACTAGCAAAAACTCTTGATTTTGGCTGTAAAGAAACTTCTGTTTTAGTAACTGACCAGCAGGTTTTCCTAAGTTACAATATGTTCACTAAAAAACAGAGAAACAAAAAGTGTGTGACCCTTGTAAAACCAGGTTCCTGTCAGCAGAAAAGCAGTTTGCTACTGCCCTAGGAATTGGAGACATCTTTGACACTGAACTGGGAAAATACTCCAGCAGCAGAAGTTAGTAAGTAAATTCAGTCAAATGTTAGTGAAGCTAAGACCTGGCTAAAATCTTCATTTAGCCACCCAGCTCACGAGATGCCACTGTTCCCACATGGAGAGGGAAATGCTACAGGGTTCGATTAGATAAAAACCAGACTGCGAAGAAATAAATGTATGCAGAGGAATCCTGTGGAGGGCCTGAGTCAGGAACTCAGGCTCTGCAT